ATTGCAGTTGATAAAGCTCGATTCACCAAATAACAGACGGTATTGACTGCTTCTGCCCATAATGATTTTCTAGGCCTGCATCCCTCAACATTGCTCTTGTTCTTTCTAACAAGGTTCTGTTCATACGTTATGCCACTCTATTTTGTTGAGGAGTGTTCGCCACTGTGAACTGTCTTTTGATGCATTCTTTCCTGCAAAAGTCATCAAATTCTTCACTTGTGTATTCTCCTCCATTATCTGTTCTGAAACACTTGATCTTATTTCCATAATCAAGTTCCACCCGCGCCTTGAAGTTTTTGAAAGTTGAAAACACGTCTGACTTCTTCTTGATAGGGTACACCCAACATCTCCTGGAGTAGTCATCAATAAATGAGGCAAAGTACTTTGCTCCACCTAGGGATGTAACTGGTGCTTGCCACACGTCAGAGTGAATCAATTCTAGAACACTTTTGCCTCTAGAATTTGATTTGTTGAATTTCAACCGGTGCTGCTTACTTGTTATGCACTGGTCACACAAAGGAAATGTTACATTTGTTAAGTCTGGAAGTAGGTTTTGCTCCACAAGGACTTTCATTCCTTGTTCTGACATGTGTCCAAGTTTTTGATGTCATAGCATTGCATAATTTGAACTACATGAGGCAACAGAGGCTTCTGCTTCTAGCAAAGTCTCTCCCTTCAGTATGTACAAGTTTGTAGCTATCTTTTCGCCTTTCAGCACCACAAGCGCTCCACGGAACACTTTCATGATTCCTTTTCGTGTTTCAATCTTGCTTGCATTATTATCCAACAATTCGTAGGATAATAAATTTTTCTTTAGGCCTTTCACGTGCCGCACATCTCGAACAACTTTAATTGTTCCATCATACATCTTCAATTTGATGGTTCTCACGCCAATGATCTCTAAGGCATGATCATTGCAACTCTACACAGATCCTCCTGAGACAGGTTCATACTGATGGAACCATTCTCTTCTTGAGGTCATGTGATATGTTGCTCCTGAATCAATGAGTCATATATCTGTAAATCTTTTTCTGCCATCCACGGTGGTTGACGCTTCACAGCATAGAGCATCTCCATCATCTGAAGTGTTTGCGGTATTACCTTATGGATTGGAGTTTTTATTTAGACTCCAACAATCCTTTTTCAAGTGACCCTTCTTTCCACAGTTGTAGCACTTTAAATTCTTCTTGCTCCTCGACTTCGATCTACCATGTTTGTGACTGCTGCTTTAGCCACATTCTGTTGATCTCCCTCTCATCATTGTCAATGCTTCTGCTTGTTGCAGATTTAATTGTCTGTCTTCCTTGTTCTTGCGCTGATTTTCTTCTTGTAGAACAACAGCTGCAATGTCATCGAAGACTAGACTGATGACATTATTGTTTGTCAAGTTGATGATGAGTTGATCATATGAATCAGGTAGACTTTGAAGTAGAAGTTCAGCACGTTCTTGTTCTCCTATTGTACATCTTAAGGATGTAAGCTGAGAAAATAACGTGTTCAGTGTATTTAAGTGCTCCGTCACTGAAGTAGATTCTGGCATACGAAGAGTGTACAACTTTCTCTTAAGGAAAATTTTATTGTGCAGCGATGTGGCCTCGTACAATTTGGTGAGATGGTCCCATATCTCCTTAGCTGTCTTCTTCTCCTCGATGCTTGACAATACTTTATCTGCTAATGCTAGATGAAAGTTTGCCATAGCATTCTCGTCCATTTCGATCCATTTGTTGTCATCTGTAAAATCTACCGGCCTTTCACTGATAACTGCTAGACATCCGTCTTTCCTCAGGATGGCCTTCATCTTCAATTTCCACAATGGGAAATTTCTCCCATTGAATTTTTCAATATCAAATTTCGTTGCCATAATTTCTTTTACGGATAGCTCCCACTATTTCACTATCGTGAATAGTTCTCTAGAACCTTCAAAGAATGAGTAATAACTTCTTACTTTCTTATGTTGGAGGATCCACCTTTTGGTGGCAACCACAAAGACAATAAGCAGATATTACACACTTAAATCTGGCTCTAATACCAATTGTTACGGAAGACGGCTATCAGATAGAGTAAAATCACAACTGATAATTTGAGAAAATAAAAATGAAGATAAAAGAGACACAAAATTTACGTGGAAAACCTCTAAAATTTTAAGGTAAAAACCACGGGCAACGGTAGAAGAATTTCACTATGAGAAAATAGGAATTACAACCTCTCTTGATCTACCAAGGAGAAAACAATGATAATTCTCTCTTGATAAAAAGGAGAAAACAACTCTCAAGAAACTCTCTAAATTCTCTCTAGTATTGGAAGAAAGCTAGAATGTTTTGGGATGGTTTTGAAGCTAAATGAGCTAGGGTATTTATAGTTGAAGCTTAAGGACTAATTTGTAAATACCCTAAATTACAATGACTAGAATTGAGATTTAACCATTGTCCAAATTCAACTAATTTAGTTGCAAAATTTGACAATTATATTCGGTGCATAAATGTGCACTTTCGGTGTACCCCACGTTTCTGACTTTTAACAAACTATTCAACAGAAATTGTCAAAGTTTATATATTACCATTAATTTAAATTAATTAATAATTGTGTTAAATCAACATATATATTTTTTTTACAAATAAACGCGTGTACTCCAAAAGTCAAACTTAATTCTTTTTCTTTTTGCCTTTCTGATTTAATAAGATTTTTTTCTAATTAATTCGAATTGATATGTTTCGCATACATGATTCAGGTGGATGATTCTCTACATATACAAAACCTCAAACTCGGAATTTATATAAGCGATATCATGATGTTACCACTTGAACTAACGGTTAGTTGGTGAAGACAAACTTAATTTTACTTTATCTAGTAATTGCAAAATAAATATTCTTCCTTATTCATTCATCATTATTTTCTTTGAAAAATAGATAGATAAACTTATAAATTTCGAGTGTATTCGAATTTCGTTTGAACAAAAAATGACCGTAATAATATTTGTTATGTTCACAATCACGATAAATACAACGCGACTGAAAATGCATTCACAACTATTATTTAAATATAACTTTTAACAACACCTAGTTGTAAGAGGAAAAAGAAACAAGTAATCCTACGAAACTGAATAGATCAACTTCATCAAAACTTTTAATAAACACCCTGTCCTAGCACATTATGACTATCAACAGTACTCCAATCAATACTAAATCTGATCCAATTTACACATCTTTAAAGAAATTTAATCTTCTAGAGTTTTTGATCCATTTTGTAGGATTCCAGGCTCTCTCGTACTCACTCTTTCAGGCTTATTCCTACTCTTCTGACATGTTCTAGAACCTTCTACCATGTTCGGAGAAACCTTGGACCCTTATTGCTTTTATGCATGATAGTCCATGTCTACTACACTAGAGGGGGCTATCTTGGACCCTTGGTGGCTGTCTAACACACCCACAGAGGCCATTTACCCATTTTTTCTAACAGACTCGGTTGTCTAACATTTACCATTTTTTCTTCTATCTTCTGAATTTCTTGAATCAAAACACAGTGAGGTAGAATTGTGAACTAGTTCTCAAACAAAATTCAAACATTTATCTTTCTTCTACTTCATTCATCTTTTTTCAGTCAGACATCTATCTTTCCTTGCTCTTCTTTCTTCTTCATTCATCAATTGTGTATTTTTAGCTTTAAAAAACTATGACTGATTTGATCCGTAGCTCTATTTTTCCTTTCATTGAGTGGCTGATTATCTAGTAACTTGATAAGTATTTATGCTTTTTTTTTCTTTCCTTGAACGTCTGGTCAGTTAATGATTTTATCAATACATATGTTGTTTGACAGTGTAATGGTATACAAACAATTGTAGTTTTAAGTTCTGCAAGCTTGAAAGCAGCTAATGACTTTATAACAAGTATCTCTTCGTTTTCCTTTTCTTGAGCATCTGATCAAGTAATGATTTCACCGGTACATTTATTATTTGACAATAGATTGGTAATATATCTTCTTCTTCTTCGACTTCATTCATCCAAACCATATAAAAAAAATGAAACCAGAAATATTATGAATAGATATCCACAATAATAACAGTATAGAGGCAAGAACAAAACAGTTAAACCACATTACTCGGTACAAGAAACCAGAACAGTAGACACGTGAATCTCAATTGCCAATTCAAAGCTAGCCAAACCAAGCGAACCACGAAACAAAAGATCATTCAACGTATTATCAAACAAAGTTGACGGTTCGGTTCGCATACATCTCTTACATCATAGTGACAAATTAATTTGAAATAAGAGAAGCGAGTAACGATCTCACTAAAGATGGGGGATTTTTTTATAACAGTGAATGATTTTCGATGGCTGTTGACGAACAACATCAGAGAATACAGCGTCGTCTTAGAGATAACCGAGGATGACTGAATAAAGAACGAAGCAAATGAAGATGAGAATAGAGGAGGTGAAGCACGCGAGAGAGGAAAATGAATACATGCATAAACACCGATGACAGACGGAGAACGAAATTCTGATTAAACAAATTCAGTTACACAAAGCGAACAAACGCTGACAGTGACGGCTGTAGATAGTGACAGCTGTAGATAGTGACAGTTGTAGCCTCCGACGGCATCACAAGTAACCTATGTAGCCTCCACGTCTCAAACAATCAACATTTTTGCAAATTGAACCAAACAAAAAATAAAGGAGAAGAGGAAGCAGAGTCAAGGCTCTCCGACAGATCGGAGAGGCTTGAACAACAGTGAAGTCGTCTCCAACAAAATCAATAGGGATTGCAACTTTTGCCATGATTTTAGAAACTCGGTTCCTGATGAATCAACTTTTGCCATGGTTTTGGAAATGACCGGAGAATGAAGAGCATAACGACAAGAAAGGTTTGGACGACAGTGGAGTGGTGAATGAAGAACAGAGCGACAATTTTTTTTGGGGGGGGGGGGGAGTTTGGGATACAATATAGGCAACAGTTAAAAATATCCTTACTCAAAATATCTAACAAAGAAACTACAATCACTATAATCTGCTGAGATATAGTTTATTTAAAGAAGGGTACTTAAAGAAATTTCAGCATAGAGCTGATAGAGAGCCATCTTAAAAAAAATGTCCTATAACCGCATGTAGATGATACAGCACTAGGAACCTAGTTTTCATCATTGTCCATACTGCATCTGTTGGGAATAACCGAGTACCTTTTTCAGTAGTGGAAGGAGAGAAACCAGAGCAAGCTGAAGCTGTTCCGAGCTATTTATTCGTATGCTGACTTGTCCTGCACCTCTATTATTCAAATTGGCTCGTGCTATTAAGTTCGTAGACCGTCCAACAGGAACCTGCGACTGTATATTGCATCCAATGGCAAGATCTCCATGCCAATCCATGACAGAAAGACCAAGTGTGGACGAGGAGCGACCCAGAGGGTAGTCTTTGTCCCTCAATTGTGCTTCCAAGCTGCCCCCAAAAGCAATATCACCACGACTCGTCATGGCACCTCCTGTCATGACAACCTGAAACCGCTTATTAGCAATCAATTTGTCTTCAACTTTCACTCCAGTTGATAATGTATCACCTAATACTGTAAGCGAGATACCGGCATTTGCCTTGTTCTTCCTGAAATTACTAAACCTTGTCTCACCGCGTAGAGTGTAGGCCAAGTCCTTTCCAACAGTCTGCATATCAAATCCTAAAGAAGTTGCTTTACCTCCCTCGTGCTTCAAAGAACTGGCTAGTTCCATTTGGACATTGGCATCCTTTTTGTCCTTTGTAATCTGGCCAGAAAATGAAATGGGAAATTTATCTTTAGCAACGAACAATCTTTCCATATTAATACCTTCATAACCAACATCATGATCCCAACCGTGAGTATCTAGAACAGGCCTCACAAGCCATGGGTTGGAGGAATCAAGGTAACGATACCGATGTGTAGGATTATCAGAATCAAAAGAGGCAGGCAGCGCCAAATCTGGCATGGGAACCGGAACAGAAGAAGCACCACTACTTTCTTCTTCAGCACTGTCACCATACTCACTTGGCAGATCCTTTGCTGCAGCAGCCATTTTCTTCATCATCTTCCTCTGCCTTTTCTCTTCCTTCAGTTGCTTTTTCATAAAAAGTTTTTCCCTATATTCCAACTCATCAAAGTATGCCTTCTTTTGAGCTTTAGTAAGCTTAGCTATCTGTGCTTTAGTCAGCCGCTTGAAAGGTGGTAATTCATCATATTCTGGTTCATCCTCAGAGTCAGAGGACTCAACCAAATCATCATCTAAACCATCCTCATCACCAAACTGCTGCTCTTCAGGCAGCTTAACTTGCGGTCTTGACTGAAGAAGAGATGAGAGAAGGAAAGGTAAAGGAGGAGTCCTTGCTTGAGTAGCAAAAGGCTTTCCCGGAGGAGTGTCTTGCAACTTCAAAAGTGTGTTTGCTTCAGCCAGAATTTTAGATGCAAAGGAAAGAAGCAACAAATGAGGCTTCCAAACCTGACCATTTGGCAAAACTCTTTGGCCTGCCCTGTTTGTTCTACAGGCAGAGTGGTTCTCCACTAATGAAACAGGATTCATGAGCCGCATATCTCCAGCTGCTTGACGAATAGCCTGCTGGACAACGTGAGTGCGTTGAGTGACAAACATGTCATAACTAGAAGCTGTACCATTAGGGCCATCAGGTGGAGCAGAAGCTGCATGAGTCAGAACCACAATTGCATTAAACCATATAGAAGGACCAAAGATCTCAGTGATGGTGCGCAAGAGGGGCATATCACCAAAATCCCTGGTTTGCATGTCCAACCTATCGAGATACAACACGATATCCGGAGGTGTTTTCTTAATGAAATGCTTAACAGAATGAAGGGTCTTCTCATTCTGGTGTTGGTCGGACCAGGAAGGCAGGAGGCCTGGTGTGTCAATTATGCGGACCTTAATACCATGTACAGTACCCACAACATCCTGAACCTTCTTTGTACCGGTCTGGAAAGCATCAGTGCCAAACTTAACTTCATCAAATATCGAATTAATAGTAGCACTTTTACCAACTCCTGTCTTCCCAAGGACCATAATTGTACAAGAGAAATCAAGGGGTTCATTACCAGCTGCCTCAAGCTGTTCTGCCATAGCACTTGCACGGTCAAAGCTAAAGGCACCAACACGGCCCCCATTTCTCCCCTGTAGCTGCTCAGCTAATCCTAATCTGTACAAAACCTGTGCTACAACAACATTATGAGGACCCTGCCCAAGCCTATGTGCAAGCCGCAAAAACTTGACTCTAATCAACTGAAGCTTTTCACGAGTTTCATCACTCTCATCAGCCTCTCCACTTGCAGGATCTTCATTCCGTTGTGCTGCCTGAGAGACATTGCCATTTACACGAGGCTGTTGCACCACTCTAGGTGCAGGCTCCAACAGTGGAGCAGCACGACCAAGGCCAGCAGGATGAGGAGGGGTAGCAGAATTTACAGATCTTACCGACGATGAAGGTACCGGAGTAGGTGAAATTTCACGTTCTTCAACACGGGGGATATTTTGCTTCATCGCCTGAACTATATCAGCTTTCTTTCCAAACACTTCAGATTTTAATGAAAGAGAAGATACCGGAGCATGTTGTTGCACTTCCTGATCTCTAGTCACTTTGGTACTTTGCATATCTTCCTGATCTTTCTCTGATTTCTTTTCAGGTTCTTCAGTCGATGACTTAATATCTTGAACTTTATCTACCATTTCATCAGGTAGCTGCGATTGAGAATCATAATGAACCTCTGATCTCAAATCAGACTTACCAGCCTCAATCTTCTCATTCTTCTGATCTCTAAGTTTCTCTGGAGACAATAAATCTCCAACTTCAGGAGCAACTGTCCCTTCAACAGACCTACTCAGCTGAGATGGCTTGTCTTCCGGTTTATCAACAGCACAATTATTCTTTAGTCCCTCTGCATCTAATGAATCTTTAACCTCCCCATTCGTGTTATCTACAGTCTTTGCAGTAGCCAAGGCCTTAAATGCTTTTTCACCCTCGTTTCCAGCATCCACTGAATAAAGATCAGCTTTGGCATCTTTCATTTTGGCACTCTCTTTCCCCTGATCCCCTGTATCGAAATTAGGTGACTTGTCTTGCGATGCTTCAATCTCATTGACAATCATGCCTGCTGAAGTATCAGCAGAGGACCCAGACATTTTATCTTGAAAATCAGTAGCCACTGCACCCTCCGTTGATTCCTCGCCCTTATCTGCTTGAGGCAGAACTTCCAACTTTGGATCCATTTTAACATCCTCCTCCACCTTAGCAACTTCCGAAGTTGCTTTTGCTCCCTCATCCCCAGCATCCACTGAATCAAGATCAGCTTTGGCATCTTTCACTTTGGCACTCTCTTTTCTCCGATTCCCTGTGTCAAAATCAGTTGACTTGTCATGTAATGCTCCAACTTCATTGACAATCATGCCTGCTGAAGTATCAGCAGAGGCCCCAGCCGTTATATCTTGAAAATCAGTAGCCACTGCACCCTCCGTTGATTCCTCACCCTTAACTGCTTGAGGCAAAACTTCCAACTTTAGATCCATTTTATCATCATCCTCCACCTTAGAAACTTCAGGAGTTGCTTTTTCTCCCTCATCTCCAGCATCCACTGAATCAAGATCAGCTTTGGCATCTTTCACTTCGGCACTCTCTTTTCCCTGATCCCCTGTATCAAAATCAGTTGACTTGACATGTAATGCTTCAATTTCATTGACAATCATGCCTGCTGAAGTATCAGCAGAGGCCCTGGCCATTTTATCTTGAAAATCAGTAGCCACTACACCCACCGTTGATTCCTCACCCTTATCAGGTTGAGGCAAAACTTCCGAATTTGGATCCATTTTAACATCCTCCTCCACCTTAGCAACTTCCATTGTTGCTTTTTCTCCCTCGTCCCCAGCATCCACTGAACCAAGACCAGCTTTGGCATTTTTCACTTCAGCACTCTGTTTTCCCTGATCCCCTGTATCAAAATTAGCTGATTTGTCATGTAATGCTTCAATTTCATTGCCAATCATGCCTGCTGAAGTATCAGCAGTGGCCCCAGCCATTTTATCTTGAAAATCAGTAGCTACTGCACCCTCTGGTGATTCCTCACCCTTATCTGCTTGAGGTAAAACTTCCAACTTTGGGTCCATTTTAACATCCTCCTCCAGTTTAGCAACTTCTGGAGTTTCCAAATTTTTATCAGCCAATGTTCCCTCTAAATATTCCGCATCAGCAACTCCATTCACATGCTTCTCAATTAATGAATCCATCATTGTGTTTCCCTCATTCTCGTCCCTCGGGACTTCAATTTCTCCTGTACTACCAATTTCAAGCAGCTCCTTTCCACCACTCAGTTCATCAGTCCCTGATCCCATTTCAGTCCCTCCCTCATCAATCTTATTGGACACAACACCTCCACCAACATTTTCCCCGCAAAACAGTTCCTCGTCTTTATGCTCATCCACTGATAATTCCAGACCCTCCTGAACTACAATTTCGCTTGGACTGGTATTCACCTGAGGACCGACATTCCCTGGAACCACATCCACCTGAGGTCCAGCCTCACTTGGCACCATATCCTCTTCAGATCCAACATCAATTGGAAACCCAACAGCCTCTTCAAAAGTCTCTGCTTCAGATTCTGAATTTGAATTCTCCTTAACTTCCTGTAAATCAGTGTCACCATTAGTATCACCATTTCCAATTGCACCAGCAACTCCACTCCCGTTATCCATTTCAGAAATTTCTGTCAGCTCCGGCAAATTCTCTTGTGCTTCAATTGCCTCCTCAAAAACATCATCTTTTACATCCTTTGTTTCATCCAAACCCCCATCAACCTTCTCCTTCCCGTCATCATTGGCAACTCTTTCATCCACAATCTTATTGTCTACTGTAACAGAATCATCAACCATTCCTGCCCCATTTTCCATTTTAACAAATGTTGATTCAAAAACCTAAATCACCAAAGCATTAAAAACCCAATTTTAACCAACACAATAATAACTAAATAAACAAGCACCAAACAATACAGCACAATCAATCAAAAAGAAGTACCCACAAACAAAACCCCCTCTTTTTCTACAACCCAAACATAAAAATCCAAAATCGATCGACATGTCAATAAAAAAAATCCATGTTTCTATATTCTTACAGTCAAAACATCATTTCTCCAGAAATATCAGATCCCAAGTGACCAAGTCCATACTAAAGATTCCCAATTTAAATAAATAAAAAGTAATGAATACAATAAGGAAGTAGTAATAAAAACTAGAAAAAGAAAAAGGAAAGGATTACCAGGTCTTTTTGATGCTTTCTGATAGAGAAAGGAAGCAGAACTGTAAAAGTATCTCTAGGTTTTTCCACTCTAATGAGAGTCACAGATAACAGAGGGGAAAAAGGATCTTTGTAGGCTTTGCCTCTTTGATCTTCGGCTTAGCAGAAGAAAAGGATAAGAAACTATCAACGGAGGAAAAGTGATGTGGGGTGTTTTGATCAAACGGCGGAAAGACGGTTCATTGGTATCATCGTTGAAAGAGGCCGAATCATGGTGACGTGGACGTTGAGAAAGGAACATGGGTTTGTGTCACGTGATCATACTTAGCTGAGATTGTTACTAAAAGGACATAATTTGGTGGTTGGGTGATATTTTGGAATTGGAGTACGTGGCGCCCATGTGGAATAGTTGGATCCTAAGCATTTCAACTAGTTTTGGTGAGGCAAAACACACACTAGAGTCAATGGTCCATTGTTCATGTAAAGTTGTTCAATGCAGAAAACAGTAAGATTTAAAGTGATTGTGGCAGGCGTTTAAAGTAGATTAGATTGCATTGTGGTAAAAAGAAAAGTAGTTTTTGGACATTGCAATTCAATAATGTTAGGTAGGGCTATCAAGGATTACAAGATGAGCCTCTACATCTATTGCATTTGGAGGTGCTGCTTGACCTGGTGTGCTTGGAAGGTATTATTATCTATTGCATTTGGAGTTTGTGGAACTGCTGCTTGACCTGTTGTGCTTGGAAGGTATTATTATCTATTGCATTTGGAGTTTGTGGAACTGCTGCTTGACCTGTTGTGCTTGGAAGGTATTAGATGGAGCAATTTATGGGGCTAGTATTAGACATTATTTTTGAGCGGTAGGATCCGTTCGTATCGTGTAATATTTGTTAGTTTTAAATTTTTTTTTCAAAAGTGGACATTTAAGATTACTAATGGAGAATGAAAAGATGTCCATTACGATAAATAATAAGATAATTTTAGTCGTCGATTTATACTCATCAAATGATCTTGAGAAAATATAAAACTAGAATATTACACTAAATTTTATTGAATTGCTATAAATTATCATTAAATTTAGGGTAAATTACATCAGATACAACCAAACTTTAGTCATTGTAGCGTTTATACCACTGAACTTTTAATTTTGTCAATTATAGCACTAACCTTTGATTTTCGTTTCAATTATACCATTGAACCTTTAAATCATTAACAATACGATGACGTGGTTGATGACTACCGACATAAATGCCTCACTAAAATGACGTCATTTTGATCCGACTGTTAACGATTTAATGACCCAGTGGTATAAATAAAAATCATAGTTCAATACTATAATTGACAAAATTAAAAGTTCAATAGTATAAATTTACCTTTAAATTTATTAAACTATTACAAAATAATAATTGAATTTATCAAAAAATTATACAATTATTATAATGTCACAGTAACTGTTATTTTATAATTTTAAAAATTCAATAACTAAAATGATCATTTAGTCTGTTTGTTTGGCTGTAATTGATTTTTCGGAAAATGAATTACTGTAATTTGAAGTGTTTGTTTGCCGTAAAACCAATTACATAATTGGTTTTTCCCGAAATCTCGTGTTTGTTTCATGTAATTCGTTTTTCGGAAAATGTTTTCCCGTGTTTGTTTCACGTAATTCGTTTTCCGGAAAATATTTTCCGGAAAATGTTTTCCCGTGTTTGTTTTACGTAATTCGTTTTCCGGACCGTAATTCATTTTCCTAGTAACATAATTTCTTTTGTGTTTTCTGTAAAATGACTTACTGATTCATTTTCCGTAAGTCATTTTTCGAACTTTTCACTTCAAAGCAAAAATACTCAAAATAATTTTATTTTATGAATTTAATATTAATAAAATATTTTAAAATCATTTTCATCAAAATATTAATTATTAAAATATTTAAAATATATTTATTAATATTTATAATAATATAATATTATATTTTTAGTTTAATAATATGATCAATTATATTATAATAATATAAGATATTATATTTTTATTTTAATAATATATAATAAATTTTTTATATATTTAATAATGAATAATATTATTTATATATTTAAATAATATTTTAGTAAAGATATTTAAAATATACTAATTAATATTTTTTAAATATAATATAACACTATTACTTTAATAAATAATTAATATAATTTATAATATTTTATTTCACTAAAATATACCAATATTAATATTTTTATTAATAAAATTATAAAAAAATATTTAATAATAAATAAATTATTTTAATATTTTAAAATAATAATATTAAATTTTATGAGAAATAATATTATTTATTATATTTAATATTTATAATAAATAATTTTTAAAAAACTCTTCAACTAGTGGAAAAAAGATTTAAATAACATCTAGTAAACGTTTAACATATTCCAAACATCATGAAACGTTTTCTAGATGTTTTCAGAAATGTAATTCATTTTCCATAATTCAAATTCCAGTAATTCATTTTCCAGTAATTCAAATTTCAATAATTCAAATTCCAGTAATTTATTTTCCGGAAAACCAATTACAGGCAAACAAACAGACTGGAAAATGAATACTGGAATTTGAATTCTGGAAAATGAATTACATTTATGGAAAACGTTTTCCGGAAAATGTTTTCCGTAAAATGAATTACATTTTTCTGAAAAACATCTGAAAAACGTTTTATGATGTTTGGAAGATGTTATTTAAACATTTTTTTCCACTAGTTGAAGAGTTTTTTTAAAAATTATTTATTACAAATATTAAATACAATAATGGTTGTCCCTTGTTCCCATATATAATGGGGCAAGGGGAGGTAAGATAGTAGGCTGCTCCCAACATTAGGTTGGGAGCAGCTTCCGTAGGAGACATCCAAATTATGAAATGCCCTCCATGGGACTCGATCCCACGACCTCAAGATTAACAACCTTGTGCTCTACCAACTGAACTGGATGGTCATTTCAAATATTAAATACAATAAATAATATTAAATACAAATATAATATCTTATATTATTATAATATAATTGATTATTTTATATAATATTAAAAATATAAATATTATATTATTATAAATATTAATAAATAAATAATATTTTGATGAAAATGATATTAAAATATTTTATTAATATTAAATTCATAAAATAAAATTATTTTGAATATTTATTCTTTGAAGTGTAAAGTTCGGAAAATGACTTACGGAAAATGAATTCGTAAGTCATTTTACAGAAAACACAAAGGAAATTCTATTACTAGAAAAATGAATTACATTCAGGAAAACCACTTAAGTGAAACAAACACGGGAAAATATTTTCCGGAAAATAAATTACGCGAAACAAACACGGAAAAATATTTTCTAAAAAATGAATTACGTGAAACAAATACGGTAATTCGGGGAAAACCAATTCCGTAATTCTAATTACGACAAAAAAACACACCCTAAATATAATTCATTTCTTCTAATATATTGTCCACTCTTTTGATATACCTATCGCTATCAAATCTAAATGACTCTATTTTCAAATGTTATGATTTAAATTTCTAACTTTGTGGAAAGGATAAGCCCAAATCATTATGCTGCTTTTAGCTTAAAGAATTATGTTGTTGAGTGAAGTACGAATAAGGTGTAAGGTTTGGATTTAAGTGATCCTCTTAATAGACCATTATTCATGTTCTCCGTGACTGTACCACTACTCGAATGGTGTGGCAGGCCATTGTCTCAGACTCTTACAGGGATGTTTTCTTCTCCTCTCCTCTTGTTGATTGACTTAAAAATAATTTATCTCATAGTTCAGTTTTTGACAGGATTGACTATAAATGGAAGCACATTTTTGGGATTACAATTTGGAGGCTTTGGAAACAGAGGAACTGCTTTGTTTATAGGGACAAGTCTGGTCTTTGCAGGAGATTATCCGCTCGACGATGGCGTGGGCTATGCTGCTTCGTAACCATCCTGGTCGTCCTGCCCTCGGCAGGCTCAATCAAAGGTGCGCGCCGCAACAATGGAGGCCCCCTGACGTTGGAGTATTGAGAATAAATATTGATGGTTCGGTTAACTCCAGCACCAACGAGGCAGCTGATAGAGGTCTCATTGGAGACAGTGAAGGAAGATGGATTACTGGCTTTGTTCGGAATATTGGTCGATGCTCCATCTTACATGCGGAGCTTTGGGCTATTATGGATGGTCTCTCTTTAGCATGGGAGAGTGGAGCTAGGAGCTTTGAAATAGAAGTTGACAGCTCTGAAGCGGTGAGAATCCTGAACTGCTCACCTAAAGACCATGAACCTTCGATTGTACGCAGAATCCGTCACCTGTTAAAGCGTCAGTGGAGGGTTCGAATCTACTGCATCAGCCGTGAGAGGAATGTCATTGCTGACTCGCTGGCCCTCCTTGGCCGCTCTCGTAGGCTCGGTTTGGATATCCTTAGACAACCACCAATTGGTCTGCAACTACTGCTCGACAAAGACACGGCGTTAATGGTCTAAAGAGACCTCTAGTTACTTCTCCCTTTGCAACCAAAAGAAAAGTTTTGGTGTCCTCTTTATCCATGACTAGCATTTCCGATAATGATATAATTTAATTGATCTTTATCCTCTTAATTTTATAATTATGCTTTATAACTTTTTATTCGACTAAACTATTTGTTAGAATTTTGTTAATTTTTATTTGTCATTTAAAAAATGATGACTTATGGCATAAATCTGAACTGTTATTAAGATAAAATTTGTTTGAAATTATTATTTTTTAAATCTTAAATTATAATAAGGATAAGATCAAATATTTAAATAATATTTTTCAAATTAAATATATCCTAATCTTATACGATTGCGTTTTGTTCCTAGTTTAGGCAATTAGAAAAGATAACAGCTCGACCGTTGATTAATTCTAAAACATTTGCGTACGTGGTCAATGTACTACTTATGAATTGAATTGGATTAAATTATAAAATATTTTATTGATAAAATAATTATCTTAATTACGTTTAACTCGGAAGTAAAACTTCTGTCTCAAAATTTCAAAAAAATTACAAATAAACCTTGATTCGATTAAAATAATTATTCATTAATAAAATTAAGAGTAAATTACATCGATAATTCATATTATTATTTCTTTTCTATTTTGGTCATTAAATTATTCTTTTAATAAAATTGTTACTAAATTTATCTTTTATTTTTATTTTAATCACCGGCCATTAAAAAATTAACGACGATTTTTGACATGCAAATTTTTTTAATTTTTTTCAATTTTTATATTTTTTTTCTTTCATTGTCGGTATGATAAGTGTTACTTTTTAATAATTTCATAAGGTGGTATATGTTCGAAATATTCTCAACTATTTAACAATAAACACTCATACACCTATGTTGACATCGTGTTCAAACTCGATACCTCAAGGAATAATAATAATCCCTTAATCAATAACTATTGAGGTCACTTGATTCATACAAAAATATAATAAAATGAAAGAGGATTAAAACTCAATAATTGTAATAGTAGTGACTAATACATAGCCTAACAACACAAGACAAGAAAAAGATACAAAAGCAATGAGGTCATTAAAGATATTGGAGACCCTACTCAACATTGATTATGATTTTGTAGACTTTTTATAACACCGGTGAGGTGAACAAAAAAAGGTCAAAGCCTAAGTCTATCCACATGAACTGTCGTCTGACTCAGCTCCATGGATAAGGATTCATCAAAACATAATCATAATCGAGTCGACCAAATTGGTTTGATCGATCCCACACACCACTTATCACTTTTCTTTACCTCTGTTTTATTAACCCCGCACATTCCTTGTTGTTACCTCAAAATCCTCAGTTTTATTTTTGGCCTTTAATATCCAACAGAGATGGCTTCATCGACAACATCATTGTACTTGGTACTAGGGATCCCGACGACCGCCGACGAGAACGAAATCAGAGCGGCCTATAGGAGACTCGCAAGAACGTGTCACCCTGATGTTGTATCCATCAAGAAGAAAGAGATGTCAGCAAATCTATTCATGAAAATCCATGCAGCATATTCCACGTTATCCGATCCCGATAAACGAGCAGATTATGACAAGGGTCTTTACGGTCGGAACAACAACCCCTTCGGTTCATCTGCAACAATGGCTGCCCCAGCGTCATCAGGGTTTTATAGCTATAGGAGGCGTGGGAATTGGGAGACTGATCAGTGTTGGTAGGCTAATTAACTAATGTAGTGATTAATATTCCACTGGGAAAGAATAGTTTTAACTGGTTTATGTTTATAAGCTGATAGGCAGCCCTTTTTGTTCACTTCGGGAAAGAACAGAAGCATCGTAAGGCTGTTTTTTATGCCTGTAAATAACATGGAAAACTTTTATTTTATAAATTTCTTTATTTCAGGAGCGTCTGTTTCATTCTTCCATGTGTTGCTTCTTCATTGGAACTGAATTTATTCTTTCCACACACAAATGTTATATATGATCTTATGTGTACCAGATATATCAATCTTCAAACAAGCAGTCGCACCCCTAGAAATTTTAAATCTCCTTATATTCTAGTTTTTTCTTTGTATTTTCTATTGATTATCTAATTTCGCACCTTCTGAAATTTTATAACTTCCCACCCCTTAAAATTTTTAACATAACTTCTTAGCACCTGACCTAAATTCCAACAAGCCTATAATAGGATCTTTTGTCTATTATGGGATTTCCCGGAGCATCACATAATCCATGATTGAATTCGATCGGATCTCTACTAGTTTATAACCCATCTTCCATGTTTCTTTCAACAAGTCGAATAGGTACTGTTGTTGGGAGCTGAAAATTCCTTGCTTTGAGTGCTCTACTAACGACCTTCAGGTACGACCGGCACCCAGAATCATAGATGACTCCAAACAGGTCCTCTATAAGGCCCTGGCTCTTGTCAACAATTACCGTGCGAATGGTCCCATGAAGCATGTTTTCATCGTTATCCCCGCCACAGCTTTTAGGAAACTATCGATGCGACTAGAGAACTCTATAGGAGATGTTTCATAGCTATTACGGTTACGGGCATCGGCCTCAGATGGTAGTCGTGATAACGTCCCATTGCAACAAATGAGCCGATACTGTGCCTTATACGGCAACCAATGTGTCTCCTTCATACTGGTTCATTAGTTGAACGATCTTATGCTTCTGCTTTGTTGGTTTCTTTGGTTCGGGACAATGATCAATACGGTAAGCTGATCATAGAGGAAGGAGGGGTCCCTCTTTTATTAAAGTTGACAAAGGAAGGAAAACCGGAAGCTCAAGAGAATGTAGCAAGGGCAATCGGGCTGCTGGGACGTGACCCAGAAGTGTTGAACAGATTGTGAATGCAGGTGTTTCTTCGGTGTTTATGAAAATCCTCAAAGAAGGTCACATAAAGGTTCAAACTTCAAACTATTGTTGCTTGGTCTGTATCAGAATTCTCTACGAAGTACCCTAAATTCCAAGATCATTTTGCATAAAACAACATAATTTGGTTTCTCGTCGGTCATCTCGCCTTTGAGAACATTGAATGACATAGCAAGCTTACCATTGTGAGTAAGCAAACAATGCGTATTCATCAGCACCATCCACAACATGTTCCATTATTTGAAACTAGCATTAAGTAAGACCCAACCACCAAAGCACAAATGAAGGCAATGGCAGCAAGAGCTCTTTGGCAGCTTCGCAAGGGAAATCTTGGTGTATGCCGCATCATAACAGATTCGAGAGCTCAAACGTGCCTTGTGATTTTGTTAGAAAAGGGTGCAGATAATGTACAGTCCCATTCAGCCATGGCATTAATGGAAATCACATCTGTTGCAGAGTACAATGCTGTGTTGAGACAGTATTCTTCTTTTAAGCCTACTTCTCATACTTACAGAGCTGTAGTGGAGCAGTTGCTCAAAGTCATAGAAAAAGAAGACTCGGACCTCCTTGTGCCTTGCATCAAAGCAATTGGAAACTTGGGCTGAACTTTCCGAGCAACCGAAACAAGGATCATCGGACCATTAGTGAAACTGCTCGACGAAAGCGAATCTGATATTTCCATGGAGGCTCTCATTGCACTCAACAAGTTCGCCACGCCCAAAAACTGCCTCCATGTCAAATTGTCGATCATTCGAAATGTTGCGGAAGACGGCTATCGGATAGAGCAAAATCGCAACTGATAATTTGAGAAAATAAAAATGAAGATAAAAAGAGACAAAATTTACGTGGAAAACCCCTAAATAAAATAGGGTAAAAACCACGGACAACGGTAGAAGAATTTTACTATGAGAAAATAGGAATTACAACCTCTCTCGATCTATCAAGGAGAAAACAATGATAATTCTCTCTCAATAAAAAGGAGAAAATAACTCTCAAGAAACTCTCTAAATTCTCTCTAGTATTGGAAGAAAGCTAGAATGCTTTGGGATGGTTTTGAAGCTAAATGAGCTAGGGTATTTATAGTTGAAACTAAAGGACTAATCTTATAAATACCCTAAAGTTTAGTGACTAAAGTTTATAATTTACCCATTTAATTTTCAAACATTATTGCACCTAATTTTGACATTGTTGCACCTAATTTTGACATTGCAATATTAGGTGCCTAACTTGAACCAATTTTCCAAGCTTTGACATTTCAACAATCTCCCACTTGAAGATTTGATTGGAACAATCATATCTTCACATCATTCTTTCTACCTTGTACCATCATGTTGCTTACGTCTCTGACAGGCCATAAGAGGATCGACACAAGGTAAATTTATCAGCGTTGATCGCCTTCGTCATGAAATCTGCTATGTTGTCTTTGGTATGGATCTTCTGTATATCTACTGTTCCTTCTTCCACCTTTTCACGAATGAAATGGTACTGAACTCGTATGTGCTTAGTCCTTGAATGAAATGTTGGATTCCTTGCTAGATGCAAGGCGCTTTGACTGTCACAAAACAGAGAGACATACTATTGATTGTGCCCAAGCTCCTCCAATAGCATCTTCAACCAAATTGCTTCTTTACTGGATTTTGTAGCTGCTACATATTCTGCCTCTGTTGTGGACGTAGCCACAACTGACTGCAACTTAGAAACCCAGCTTACAGCTCCATCAACAACTTTGAACACATATCTTGTTGTAGATTTGCTTTTATCCAAATCCCCTGCATAGTCAGAATCTACATACCCATTGATTATTAAGTTTGATCCTCCGTAATATAATGCAACATTTGAGGTCCCTTTGATGTATCTCAGGATCCTCTTTACTGTATTCCAATGCTCTTTGCCTGGATTCGCCATGTACCGACTAACCACTCCCACTGCTTGTGCAATGTCTGGTCTTGTGCATATCATAGCGAATATTAAACTTCTCACTGCTGATGCATACGGTACTCGAGACATCTCCATCCTCTCTTCTTCACTGCTAGGACTCATACTGGAGGATAATTTGAAGTTAATAGGAAGGGGGGTAGAAATTGGCTTACAATCTTGCATGCTGAATCGTGACAAGATCTTCTTCAAGTAATTCTTTTGTGAAAGCCAAATCTTCCTATTACTTCTGTCTCGGTGAATTTGCATCCCTAGAATCTTGTTTGCTGATCCCAAGTCCTTCATTTCAAATTCCCTAGCCAATTGTGCCTTCAATTCTTCAATATGATCTTTGTTGGGTCTTGCAACCAACATGTCATCCACATACAACAGCAATATAACAAAATCGTTATCACCAGACCACTTGAAATAAGCACAAGGGTCAGCATTAAGTCTGTTGTATCCAAGGCACATAATGAATGAATCAAATCTCTTATACCAACACCTCGGTTCCTGCTTTAGACCGTACAGAGATTTGTTCAACCTGCAAACCAAGTTCTTCTTTTCGTCTTCTTCAAAACCTTCAGGCTGGAGCATATCAATATCTTCTTCAAGATTTCCATGAAGAAAAGTTGTTTTAACATCTAGTTGCTCTAGATGTAAGTTCAATGTAGCACACATTGCCAAAACTACTCGAACTGTTGTTATTCGAACCACAGGAGAAAATATTTCATTGAAATCAATACCTTCCTTTTGAGCATATCCTTTGACCACCAGTCTTGCACGATACCTCTCAACTTGATCATCACCATTTCGCTTAATTTTGAAGACCCATTTGTTACCAATTGGCTTCCTTCCTTGTGGTAGTGGCACAAGGTCCCATGTATTATTTTTATGAAGGGCTTCGATTTCTTCTTGCATCGCCATCATCCACAGTGAAGCATCTGAGCTGTTTATTGCCTCCTGGTATGTTGATGGCTCACCGTCCTTTGTTAAAAGACAGTATGCAATATTACCTTCTATAACATAATCTGAGTGCCAATTAGGACGTCTTCTCACACAATCTGATTGACGAGTTGTTGGAGCTTCAGAACTCTCTGGTTCTTGTTCATCATGTGTTGGTTCTGCTTCAGAAGAATCTCCTTGTTCAACCTCCTTTTCCACATGTATCTAAGTAGTCCCTGACTTTTCAGTGCTATCATCGTCTTCTTTTCTTTGTAGTTTATCCTCTACAAAGATAACATCCCTGCTGATGATCACTTTGCGGGCAGTGGGATCCCACAAGCGATACCCCTTGACTCCATCAGCATACCCCAAGAATTTGCATTTCCTGGATTTTGGATCCAACTTTGAAATTTCTTGGGCGTTGTACATCACGTACACAATACTTCCAAATACATGTAGGTTTGAATAATCAACTGGTTTACCAGTCCACATCTCCATTGGTGTCTTCAGCTCTATTGCAGTTGATGGAGCTCGATTAACCAAATAACAGGCGGTATTGACTGCTTCTGCCCAGAATGATTTTTCTATGCCTGCGTCCCTCAACATTGCTCTTGTTCTTTCTAACAAGGTTCTGTTCATCCGCTCTGCCACTCCATTTTGTTGAGGAGTGTTCGCCACTGTGAACTGTCTTTTGATGCCTTCTTTCTTGCAAAAGTCATCAAATTCTTCGCTTGTGTATTCTCCTCCATTATCTGTTATGAAACACTTGATCTTATTTCCAGAATCAAGTTCCACCCGCGCTTTGAAGTTTTTGAAAGTTGAAAACACGTCTGACTTCTTCTTAATAGGGTGCACCCAACATCTCCTGGAGTAGTCATCAATAAATGAGACAAAGTATTTTGCTCCTCCTAGGGACGTTACTGGTGCTTGCCATACGTCAGAGTGAACCAATTCTAGAACACTTTTGCCTCTAGAATTTGATGTGTTGAATTTCAACC